CCTTGTCCTAAAGACCTACTGTAGAACAAAAATAACATTTACAATATCCCTTGTCCTAAAGACCTACTGAAAGGTATAGTCAGCATATTTCAAATTTTAACCAAAATTAGCAGTTTACTTCTTCATTTTGATTTTACCAGTTTGTTTATTCCAATCTAACCATATTTTTTTTTAGTTAAGAATGAATTGAAATTTTGTTTTTACTTTATTTTTTTCTCTTATAGAGTTTTACACTGATCTCAGCTTCTCGCTGGTTGGTAAAAAAAGGAGAAGTTATCAGGTTGTTGCCAGATGAAACCACAAAATACACGTTTGGCCGTACAACTCGTTGTACTAGAGTTCCCATTTATTTGTTCCTGTTTACAGATCTTCTTCTCTTGACCAAGAAGAATAGGTAATAATTTTCTATTTTATCAAATTAATTAATATTTTAACCTAACCTTTTATGTGAGGCTGCTTATTGGCCATTTTTGGACAAATGAATCTGGGCTTATCAACTATTGAGTTGAATGAATCATTTAAATTTCTGCCTGTAAAACTCAATGTGGATTTAAATTAACATTTAAATGATTCCTTAATTTTTCGACCTTTTAGTGTTTGTTTGTTGATACATTATGTGTGTGTTTTAACGTGTTTTAAGTATCTTCTTTGTTGATACGTCTGATTTTGTGAGATACACGTGCTATTTAACTGGGAAGACCAGTGCTTCAAGTAAATGTACAGATCTAATGTTATGTATGTAAGTTACAAATATGCAGTTACTTATATAACAGGAATTCTTTTGTTAATAGTTGTTAAAAGTTTAATTTTTAATAACGTCAACTTTTCCTGCAGTGAGAAAAACTACACTGTGATAGATTACTGCCCAAGAAAGTTTGTGCAAACAGTACTTCTAGATCGGTCTCTAAAACCAAATGTTCCGGCCCATGTTGAAGACTGTAAGAAGGCGTTTCTGTTAATAATGTTAAATAATCATAAAGGGAAAACAAAAGAAATGATCTTGAGCTGTTCGTCAAAGTAAGTCTCTCGTTATTTATCATCAAATTCTAGTAATTTGTTTTTTAGTCATTTTTAGAGACACCAATATTTTGATTTCGATTTTTCCAATATTTCACTGAATTATTTATTTGTAAAATATGATCTTGTTGTGTACCAGTATCCTTAGGAGAAAACATGATAATTCCCCAACATTCAACCATGTGATCATTTCCGATGTTGGTAAATGTTAATCACTAATGGTTCATTCTTTTCTTGAATGTAGAAGTGAACGTGCTTGTTGGGTGAAGACACTTAATTCAGCCGCTTCAGAAAATTCCTCTGAAAATATTTATGAATATTTGGGGAAGCATTAACGTGATTTTGTACAGTGCATTCTAAACTGTCAGTTCTTAACAGTTTTTTATTATTATAAAATATGTATATTTATTCACCCACTCACATGTGATATATTGAATTTGTAATTCTTTCTGTTAATGTGATAATTGTTTTGGAAAGTAAAAGCTGATAAGTTTTAAAGTGATTGACAATGCTACATTATATAAAGACATATCTCAGGTCTCGTATAAACAGGAATCATGAAATTTTATTGTGTAAATAGGACTGTCAGTTTTAAATTGCTAATGAATGATATATCAAATATTTTGTTTCAACATCTGCAAGTGGAATAATTTATGACTATAACTAATATTTTTTACTGTAATTATCACACTGTGTTAACTAAAATAAAAGTAAAATAAACACTGTATTAACTGAAGTAAAATAAACACTGTGTTAACTAAATAATATTTTCCAGAAATATTCATATTTTCACCAAAAACCAAAGGCTATAGCACATATTTTTTCACAAATTTTGAAAAAAATTGTTTTTCTTCTTATTTCAATACAAAGATGTCCTTGATGTAAGACTTTAAAAATAGAGATCCTTTTATCAAAATTCCCATTAGTTATTTCATAATCTCTTATCAAAATTTCGGATAGTGTCGATTTCAATGTTGTGG